TCTCTCTCTCTCTCTCTCTCTCTCTCTCTCTCTCTCTCTCTCTCTCTGTCTCCGTTATATATTATTCTCTGTGTCTCGGCATATAAAGGCATGTTTTGCATCGGTATAGCGATATGAATACCAAATGACATCGCGGAACAACACGGCGGCTTCTCATAATTCCTTTCCCGCCGTATCTACATGCCGTGACAGTCGCAAAAACCGAGTCGCTAAGCCCTCGGCGTTTGGCCGCCGGATCCATCTCGCAGTGGTGAGATCAACGTCTGGACGGGCGAAGTTTTTATAATCCGCCGTAAGGCGATCGCGCGCGTCCGGGATCGGACTTGTTGGCGAACTTGCCGCTTTAATTATGCATATCATTAGGATATTATCGTCGTGTTTGCCATCGCGCAAGTCGTGTCACTCGATCTAATTTCACTCTGATCATTTTACATCGCAGCTGCGAATCGATTCACAAATACGATCCGGAAATGAACGCAACGATACTTGGAGGGCGCGAAACTGACATCAGAAGAGTGCTCCATGCTTCTCGAAAGATTTTCCAATATCTTTGAACCTCTTTGGTCGATCGAAGTAAAATTTTAGTTGTCAACGCTGGATAAGTGGAGCATCGTAAAGTGTTTCTGCCGTGTAGCGAAATGATGTGTAAAACGTTTTAGCTCGCGACCCCCTCGTCGACCGCCAATTGAAGCAAAACGGGCTGCTGCACGCGCGGCGGTGTGCGAAATAAACGCCCGATGCAAGCCGACATTCACGCTTTTAACGCGAATTCATTTCAGCCCTTAACGGCAATCAAACCGGGTTTTCTCGTTTGCGAGCACTATTGTTCCTCCGCGGGAAAGAGGCGCGCGAGGGGCTCTACTAGAAAACATTGAACCGTCCGACCCCCGAGGATCACGACCGCTAATTATTTCCGTTAATTAGTATAACAACCGCGCGTGCCGACTTCATTAACCCCATTCGCGACTCGACCGCCTGAATAGATCACATTAATGCATTATTCGCTCCTTTCAGCTTCCCCGCCTCTTCCCTTTTTTTTCCTTTTTTTTTCATTCGTCTCAATCATCACCTTTGTGCACCCAAACTTCACACAAAAACGACAATTGTTCGTTTCTCCTCCGCGAGAGTTTTTTTTCTTCGACGATGCACAAAGGCCGGCGCCGATTCGCTTAAAATTCCCAATGACAAGCGACCGCCGTCTCTCTCTCTCTCTCTC